AGGTGCCATTCTTGGACATGCGCACCATCTATGAAGTTCGCGAGCGGCATAGCCGCATGTGTAGTTGGACGGCACTGCTCACGTCGCAGATGTTGATTGAGATTCCATGGAATATCGTCGGCTCGACGTTGTACTTCCTGTGCTGGTACTGGACCGTGGCCTTGCCGAGTGATCGAGGCGGCTACACGTATCTTATGCTCGGTGTCATGTTCCCGATATACTACACCACTATCGGCCAGGTAAGCACTCACTATCAGCCGACCTGAAAGCGAGAACTGATCAGATATGTGTAGGCCGTTGCAGCAATGTGCCCCAATGCTCAGATTTCTGCGCTTGTGTTAGTTTCCTGTTCTCCTTCGTGCTGTCCTTGTACGTGTCGCTGTACCTTATCTTCCTGTAACCGCACTAACGGATGTATACAGCGACGGTGTACTTCAGCCATACCGTGAGCTCGGCTGGTGGCAACGGATGTACCGCTTATCTCCCTTCACGTACCTCATTGAGGGTATGGTCGGTCAAGGTATGGTTTCTGCTGATTGTTTGTTGCCCAATTGCTCACTGGCTATATGTAGCGATGGGCAACACTCCGATCCGTTGCTCTTCGACAGAGCTCGTCAGTTTGAATCTACCCTCGGGTCAAACATGCTCTGATTACGGCGGGTATATCACCAACAGGGACGCGACCAGTGGGTGCGAATACTGCGAATTCACCACGGCGGACGAATTCCTGGAGACCAGTTTTAACATCTGCTACAAAAACCACTGGCGCGATTTCGGTCTTTTCATCGCGTACATTGGTTTCAATGTGAGTTTTCTTGATCTTGGAATTTGACTGTACCTGACACAGAGCGGGTAGGTTTGGTGCATCTACATGTTGACATACATGTTCCGCATCCGTTCCGGGAGCATGATTGGAAGCGCCGATGGCTGGCTGAAGACCCGGATTGCAAAGAGAAAGTGACTCAACGCGCCAAGCATCTATACCGTTATTGTTAGACCATTCAATCTTTAGACTAGATATACCATAGCGAACTTTGTTGAGACAATAATGTCTGCGTTCATGTAGAAGAGGAAGTTGCTCACTGGACAGGACGTCACACTCTTACACGGATACCATTATTACATGTACAGTCTGCGAACGGAACCGCTCTGATCCCGGTCCTGACAGCCTCCCGCCTCCCGCCTGATGCCTTGCTCTTCTCTGCGACTGCCGACGCGAACACAGAGGGCACAGGGATCCCACAGCAGTCACCCCACCCCACCTCGCGCTGACCCGCGCCCCCGAGGTCTGGGTGCGCATGCGCGTAGCCCAAGTGCGCGTCGTCTTCCTCGACCTCGCTCCGCGGCGGGGGCATTGGGCCGTCCCACGAAAGAATCGACCCGAAGAGAAAGTGCTGCATGACCGGCAGCTTTCCGAGCACCACTGCGAGATACATCTTGATCATGCCCGAGTTCACCTTGTCCCATCATGCCCGAGTTCACCTTGTCCCACGTCCTTACCTACAGGAAGCCGCGCTGTGAGAACATGCGTGGGATAGAAGACACGGTTGTAACGCATGGCGGAGATGTCATCAAGCATGGGCGAATGCCACCGCAGTGAGGCCGTCTTCACCTGTCAAGAAAAGGCGCACGACACGGTGAGTCATCGGCTCGACGATCGGTCCTCTGACCTACCTGGTTGATGAATTTGATGCATGCAAAGTACAGGTAGTGCTTCGCGTACTCGTCCACGATCTCGCTATCGTGGATTGCCTTGGGCTTGATGTACTTATGTCCTGTAATGCCCGATGAAAAAGCGCTCCAGGAATCCAGCAAACCAGCCACCCACCTCGCAGTTGCGCAGACTCAAACAAAAGGGCAGGAAATGGTAGTCGTCCAGACCCCAGACGCCGTGCGAACCTGCAGGCTCCAACCAATAGGTCGATTGCAACACTCGCATAGCTTGCAGATATCTGTCGTATAAGGCATGAGCAATTGAGTATGTGAAGGAGAACATCGCATAATCACCTCCAAAGTACTCGGATCACAAGTGCAACGTGATCGCTTTCTTGCACAACCCCTAATCGCTCAAGGCATATGCTACACCAACCTGTATTGAGCACGACCACAAAATGCGAGCCGAGATGGGACGTACAGCCAGCACAAAAAGTTCAGCTCCATGCCGCTTCCGTAGGCAATCCTTGCTCGGTTGCCCCATGATTCGCCAAAGTACACAGCAAGCTCGGGTATCGCCTCCTGAGCCAAGCCGGGCAACTTTGTGTGCAGAGATGGTGCAGCCTACCTCCTCATAGGTTAGATTAACGATTGCGCCACCGATTTATGACAGCCATTGCAAAGAAGGGACCGGTTTTTCTCCGGAGGAAAGGCATCGAATACGCGCGCATACATGTCATGTTTCATACTGTGTTCGCAAGATCGGGTTTTCGATCCTATGCAGCAAACATTGAGGCTTCTCGATGGAGAACGCAGGCAGAGACACCCCTTTCATCGAACATTGTTGCTTAATATGAAGATTTATGAAAGAGGATTTCACTTTGTAATTCACCCAAAATGCCTTTCGTCCAGAAAAAAAGGTCTCATCTTTACTACGTCGAGTAAGGCAACGCACCTCAGCAACCTTGTCATAAAACGTCCTAAATGCAGGATTCCCAAAGCGCGACGCCTTATTGTCCACAGGAGGCGTGGCCTTGGCAATCTTCTCCACCTCGTCAAACATGCCAACGATCGCTCTCACACCCTGCGACCCAGCGACTTTGTGAGCCTCCAACCACGCAAACGGGACGTCACTCACGCACGGGAGACTCGGTGCACTGATCGGTCAGCTGCACGCCAACCACGGCCTCATTAAGTGTCTCGATATACGATACAATGTCCTTGTGCGTTTGGGAGTTCTGGAAGTATTCAAGGTGCTCCTTCGTGAGGATAACTTTGCGAGGGGTACAGATCTAATGACATGGTGGTCGTCAATGACGCCAACCCGGGGCGCTAAGCGCTCGACTCAGCTAGCGCTCGCGAGCTACCTCTATCCATCAAGTCGAGCTTTGACAATCCTTCCTATAGTTGTGTTCTCGGGCATTGCTGGTTTTCGATGGCTCTTGAGAATGGCGACATCAACACTTACATTGCGGAGCTCACTAGAGAAGCACAATGCTACTTTCCAGACGCTACTGAAGCTCATCCCTGCAAAGTACTATTTGATGCAGGACAATTCGGAAGAGCAGGCGAATCAGCAGTAATGATCCCCTGCTGAGTGCATATTGATTCTATATGCTGTGTCTTACCCTGCGATGCGACTTCACGCAACAGATAGCATCTAAATACCAGAAGAACAGCAAAAAGCAGAAGGCACCGAAACAAGCGATCAAAGAGGCACCGAAAAGGCCAAAAAAGAAAAGGTATGCATACATGCGTCCGGTTCAACAGTGATCGAAGTCTAAAGTGCGACCCAGCTCGACCCCGCTGATAACAAGACCGTCATCGACTTCAAAACGAATCCCTGCAAACGGCAGAGCAGAGTGGTTCAAGCAAGAAGAGTAAGGGCAAGCAAAAAGCAGACGCAGCCACGCAAGGTCCGGGTTCTGATGGAGATGCTATGGACGTGGACGTGATTGTCGA